TGCTTGCTTATTTTTTTCTTAATAATTATTTGATTTGATCAATTCCGATTCTATTATTTTGCCATTATTAATGTTTTTTTTGGGTTGATTCCTTTGTTCCCCTTTATTCGAAATACTTTTCCTGCATTTTCCAGCTGGTGCTATTGGAACCAGAGATATGTCCTACCTTTAAGCTGTTAATAATATAGCCTTTAAGAGGGCAAATGCATTGCTGCGGCTGGATGTTCGAGACTATAGTTACGGTAGTAGCGAGCAGGATCACATAGATTTGGGCTCAGCTTCCAGTCAAATCTAACTTGGAGATTAACAATATTAGCCGCTCAAGTAAAATCAATGAGAGACAAATAAAGTTTTATGTCGGACCTTCAAGCAACCTAGCCATTACATTGTGGCTCTCCAATTTCTATTCCACTTTATTACTTTAATTTACTTTTCGCGACTACTTCAGAGGACACGTCTATTCAAAAGGAATTCACTGCAAAGAGATTCTAGCCTAAATGAGTTAGTCGAGCCATATTGTGGGAATCATGAATAAGAACTATTCACAAACTCAAACAACTATCTTCTTTAAAGCTGAACAATACCCTTAAAGTTGGGAGAATATACTATTAAGTTCAGTGGGCCAATCAATATAATACGATTCTGTTGGTTCTGTTGTGCTGCACTCTTTGCTCCAAAATGGTGCACCGTCCCGATAAATGTGCCACGATATTGTGGGATAAACAAAAGTATTCACTGCCTTTCATGCCAGAGTCTCGCCACACTTTTGGGAGCTCCTGCTGTTGCTGCTGCTGTTCCTGTTTTTGTTTCTGCTGGACTATCATTGGAGCGACTACAAAGGGAGCAAAGAATGCAAAGTTTAAATTGTGTATGGGTCTGCATTGACCACAATGACAATCATGACAAACGCACACAAACCCGTGGGCACACACCCGCACCCCCACCCCCCTCCACACCATCGCCTACTGAAGTCCGAGGCATGTGACAAATATTCCGAGTTGGCTGAACATTGGTGCGAAGGCAATTGAATTGTTAAGAGGATTAGACCTCATCGATGACCAAGCCCACTGCTCCAAGCTACTGGAATTTTGCGAAGATCGGGAACTGCACCAGAAGAACTAATCTAGTCTTAAACATAACCGGACTTGATTCAGTTGTACATAGATTCTTTCATTTTTACGGCGAAAAAAGAAACATCCCCCCACTTCTTTACAAAGCTAGGTTCTTAAAAGATAAGATTAAGCAGTAGGAATACAGCTAACCATTTATTCCAAACTTGAGACTGGGTAGAAATTAGGTTTACAAGGGTATATCGTAATTCTGCACAGTCGCTCCTCTTCTTTTAATTAAAGTGAAAGGGAATTATGAAGAAATATCCCCCCACTTCTTTACAAAGCTAGGTTCTTTAAAGATAAGATTAAGTAGTAGGAACACAGCTAACCATTTATTCCAAACTTGAGACTGGGTAGAAATTAAGTTTACACTCTCACTCACTCTTCTTTTAATTGAAGTGAAAGGGAATTGGAAAGAAACATCCCCCCATTGCTTTATAAAGCTCGGTTCTTTAAAGATAAGAATAATAGGAACCTAGCTAAGCATTTATTCCAAACTTGAGACTGGGTAGAAATTAGGTTTACAAGGGTATATCGTAGTTCTGCACAGTCTTTCTATTCACGCTCTTCTCTCACTTTCTTCTTTTAATTAAAGTGAAAGGGAATTGTGAAGAAACATCCCCCCCCCACTTCTTTACAAAGCTAGGTTCTTTAAAGATAAGATTAAGCAGTAGGAACACAGCTAAGCATTTATTCCAAACTTGAGACTGGGTAGAAATTAGGTCTACAAGTGTATATCGTAGTTCTGCACAATCTTTCTATTCACGCTCTTCTCTCACTTTCTCTTCTTTTAATTGAAGTGAAAGGGAATTGGGAAGAAACATCCCCCCACTTCTTTACAAAGCTAGGTTCTTTGAAGATAAGATTAAGCAGTAGGAACCCAGCTAACCATTTATTCCAAACTTGAGACTGGGTAGAAATTAGGTCTACAAGTGTATATCGTAGTTCTGCACAATCTTTCTATTCACGCTCTTCTCTCACTTTCTCTTCTTTTAATTGAAGTGAAAGGGAATTGGGAAGAAACATCCCCCCACTTCTTTACAAAGCTAGGTTCTTTGAAGATAAGATTAAGCAGTAGGAACCCAGCTAACCATTTATTCCAAACTTGAGACTGGGTAGAAATTAGGTCTACAAGTGTATATCGTAGTTCTGCACAATCTTTCTATTCACGCTCTTCTCTCACTTTCTCTTCTTTTAATTGAAGTGAAAGGGAATTGGGAAGAAACATCCCCCCACTTCTTTACAAAGGTAGGTTCTTTGAAGATAAGATTAAGCAGTAGGAACCCAGCTAATTATTTATTCCAAACTTGAGACTGGGTAGAAATTAGGTCTACAAGGGTATATCGTAATTCTGCACAGTCGCTCCTCTTCTTTTAATTAAAGTGAAAGGGAATTGGGAAGAAACATCCCCCCATTGCCTTAAAAAGCTCTGTTCTTTGAAGATAAGAATAATAGGAACCCAGCTAAGCATTTATTCTAAGTTTGAGACTGGGTAGAAATTAGGTCTACAAGGGTATATCGTAGTTCTGCACAGTCTTTCTATTCACGCTCTTCTCTCACTTTCTTCTTTTAATTAAAGTGAAATGGAATTGTGAAGAAACATCCCCCCACTTCTTTACAAAGGTAGGTTCTTTGAAGATAAGATTAAGCAGTAGGAACACAGCTAAGCATTTATTCCAAGCTTGAGACTGGGTAGAAATTAGGTCTACAAGGGTATATCGTAGTTCTGCACAGTCGCTCCTCTTCTTTTAATTGAAGTGAAAGGAAATTGCGGGACGGGTAACGAAAAAAGGCAGTCTATGGGTGATATCTCTTATTTGTGGATTGGTTTCTGTTCCTCACTGCTTTTATATGCCCGCTCTTCCCCTTCCAGCAGCTTGACGCTTTCAAATTGTATGCCAATTTCGAAAATCAGTATAAAAACGTTTTTCCCACAGAATGCCTGTGGGTGATCCTTTTCACAGCAGACTGTGATGCTGTGGCCAGAAATGATTGCCTTTTGGACAACTTGAACTAAGCTCATCGCTTACATCGCTCTTACTCGCACAGCCATACTCGCAGGCAGTCGACAGTGTGGCACATTTCTAATGCGATTGTTCCAGAGTGGTTGCCCAGCAGCACCTTTTGTCTTCTCGCCTGGACACAGACACCAGACACCAGACACCCGTGGCCCATTTTGTGCCACTGCTCCAAAGAGCACTCAGTGTGCAGGTTCGCTCCTAGTCTCTGGCTCTCTATCTCCGTCTCGCTCTGCCTTGTTGACCACACGATTTCCGCCAAATGCCAGTTTAGAAAATAGGTGCCCCCCTCCCCCCTCCCCCCTTCCCCAGCTTTCTCGCATTCCGCTCCTGGCTGGCTATTCGTTCGTTTGTTTGTAGATAGGACTTTTTGAAATCCCTTTGGCGCTGTTGCCCCTTGCTTGGATGCCGCCTGGCCAGGACGTTCGCATTGGCCATCAAACTGTGTGAAAACACAATATAAACAGAAATCTAGTTAATTGGGTAAATGCGGAAATTGAAAGCAAAAGCAAAACGCTGCCAACTGCTTAGTGGGGTGCTGGTTGCTGGCTGCTGTTCCACAAGGATCGGACAATCGGAGAGGGGCGGGTGTGGAGGGCATGGAATGCAATAAATATCATACAATAATAGCACTATGTACGGCTGGTCTGTGGCACTTTCTATGCTTGCATTATTTATCGATTTATGCAAATTTATGCGTGCATTTTATCGATAAACAATAATAAACAACAGTAGCAGCAGCAGCAGCAGCGGGAGCGGGAGCACCCGGAGCTACTGCCTGCCGGGCAGTGGCAAAATGGCGAGGGCGGGGCAGCGCACAAAATTGAAAACGAAATTTATAAATGCAAATTGTCAACGGCAAACAGCAAATAGCGAGAAACCAAAAACAAAAAGCAAATGCATCATTTTTGCATACTTGTATATGTATGTACTCGGTACTCGGTACTAGACAAATTTGCGCGAACGCCGCGCCCCGCCGCGCCGGCAAAGGCAGAAACGTCAAGGGAAGAAAAAATCGTCAGATATTTTCTGTTTTGCAATCAAAAATGAAACGTCCAAAAACCAACAAGAGGCAAACACAATGCATAGCAAATGGAGCACGAGCGACGAGCACAAATGGCCGCAACAGCTACATACATACACGCATACCCGTATGTAGATGGTACGAGTCGATGGCGACCCAATGGGAAATATGGCCAGATGACACCATAAGGGGCTTATTAGGCCATATCCGTGGAGCTTAGCATCGTTGGCAATTGGAAAAATAAAAATCTCACTGATCTACGACCAGCCAGCTGCAGAACCACATCAAGATCACTGTTGATCCATTTTAGGACTTAATTTCAAATACAATTCATCTGTTAAGGCTCCACCGCAATTTCTGAAACAGCTGTTTGGCGCTAGTATCGTTGGGTACTACGAGTATCGAGTACTTTGGAAAAGCAAAGAGTTGCTGGCAACAAGTGGGGAGGATAGGAAGCACTGAACAGTTTTCCACCGCTTTCGCGGAAATACATCTAAAAGAGTGCTGTAAACAATTCGCAATATTCGTATTGAAATGAATTAATTATGTACGCACAAATAAATATCCAACAATCGTTACTCAAGACATCTTTCTAAAATCCTCCCTACACTCCGATTATGTTTGGCGGCCTAGCAAAACACTTAGTTTATGAATATCGGAATATCGGAATAACCGAATTCCCCCGCCAAAACCATTATTACACATTTATCAACGGGACTTTAAAGGATGATAACATTTCCAGTCGAGTCTAAAGTTTTTCCAAGAAGATGAAAATACCAAAGTACAGTATAAAATGTGGCCACCTAAAAAAGCATTACTCAACACTGGTATAAGAAAAAAAATTAATTTGGTATCCGTGGAGCTTAGAATTATTGGAAATTGGAAAAATACAAATTGCAAGAAACAACTAAAACACTCGCATAATGTCGAAAATCAGCGAATTTGATGTGCTCGAGGGATACGATCAGAGCTTGATTCACCTGCCACAGGGGAAGAAAATAAGGCAGTCGCAAGGCGATGTGAATTGCAATGGTAATGGTGGAAACTTAACTGAACTGAACTGAACAGAACACAGAAATTGGGGAAACAATAATTCGTTTGATTCACAGATGTTAGCAGTTGGAAGATATTGACTGATGGCTTAAGCGACTCGGATGGGGAGGTTGAAAAACCTAAGTGCATATATGAAGATCTCAACCTCGAGAAGGTCTTCCATAATGCTCTTCCATCGTCCGCAAAGGAATCTGGAGACCCACTGTCCAACAACTATCCGAATGGGCCGTCTCGCCACCAGCAGACGGCGGACCCGCAGTCAACCGGATTCAAATACGACTTTGCGCCGACGCAGCCGGATTTCGTGCAGCTGATGATGGAGGAGCTGGTGGAGAGGCAGAAGCAACCGCCAGTGAACAGTGCTTGGCCACAAGTGCCCGACAACACAAATGGGGCTACCGGCAAGGAAGTCGACCAAATGCCAAATGGTTATAAGGCAGATAACACTAGCGAGCACCTGAAGAATAAGAAGAACGCGGCCAAGCCGAGGGAGAAGAAAAAGTTGAAGCGCAAGAATTTCACTGCGGTGGCCTTCATGGGCCTGCCCATGAATCTCTAATTGAGTAATACGCGTCTGTATGCAATAGCTTGATAAAATAAAATGCCAAATTTCCACTGGGCAGCTCACCCGAAACATAGCCCGACACTGAATGCATCAGTCCCACAAGGACCAAGGGGCAGGCAGGCGGCGGGACATGGCTCGGCCACGGTTTGTGGCGATATTTTTGCATACTTTTGTACGGGCAAACAATTTGCATTTTCCATTTCGCGGCGTCACATGAAATGGAGGGCGAAGGACTCGGCCAGTAGTGTGTGGCAAAGCGGTTGGTCAGGTCGCAGTTGCGCTGCAGTCTCGCGACGTGGTCTCGCCTCTTCCTTGAAAATGGCACACAAACACACCTACACACCTACACATATATACATATATACGAATGGATTGATGATTTATGGCTCTTTTGACGGCATTGATATTTCATTTATTTGCGATGAAGTCATTTGTTCGGCACCATCACCATCACCATCACCAACACCTTCGCCGCCATTGCTCCGTAGTCCACTCTCCTGCGACCAGTTCCCGGCCATGTTGTATGTATTTCTCGTTCTCGGGTGATTTATGTCGAAGTTGTTGGAAGCGCACCTTCAAGCGGGAACAGATCGATTCATAACATACGAATATGTATGTACTATATATAGATTCCTTCAGATATATTTGTCGTAATCATCAATCACTTTCGCCTTCATCTTGTCGAGTCCGGCCTCGAACTTTCTGCACAGTGGTCCGATTTTTAACCATATTTGAAATTTTATTTTGTTTCTTTCAATCAATATTTTGTGTGCAATAAAATTAAAGGAAAAATACCTTTACGTTTATACTATATTTATTGCCTTTCATTGAAAATGACTAAAATAGTGCAATCAATTATTGCCGTCTGATTGGAACAATTGTGTACAAGAAAGATAAGGCAACTGAAGTTTCTTGCAGTTTCCAATAATCGAACTATGGCGTATAGTAGTAGCTGCCATTGGACCCATTGACTGATTTGGCGAACAAACCACAATAGTCTCTTTGCTGCTGAAACTAACCCAACCCTATCTAGCATCTACTGGCCTCGACACATGCATACAACCAATTGGAATCCCCTCTTAATTAGAGAAGACACACACAGAGAATTTTTATTATTGATTTACTCAACTACTTTAATGTACTCTTATTTTCTTTTTACACTTGAACGTCTTTTTCAAGGCGCGCAATTAAATGCATGATTAACATTCCTTAAAATTCCTTAATTATAAATCTCTTTAAAACCAAGCGATTGCAAAACAAAACATCTGTCATTTAAAATATTCAGCATCTAATTTGAAAACGAAAAGAACCATTTTACTAAGTTCAAACTGTACTTCATGTTGTGATTAACTTTGGTCAAAAATCAAGACCTGTGGCGCCCTACGGATTCCCTGCTGGTGATGCTACGGTCACACTGAAAAAAGCTGCACTGATAGTTTCTCTTCCGCACTTACGAACGAAGCGTTTGTACATTTCAATTGATTTACATATTACCGCAGAGTAATTGGTACAAATGGCTCAAGAGCTAGCTTTGCAAGTCTTGCCAATAATTAGTCTAACCACAGCAGGCTCCTCTACGGCCAGTGTTGCACAGCTTAGGAATATCGCAAATAGCAGAAAGTTGAATGGAATAAATGTTGCGGTCGACATCGTTTTGTCAGTTGGCATTAAACAGGAAGGCAATGCCATTAACTTCAAGCTAAATAATTCGAGAGCAGAAAACCCATAAGCCAACAAATATTTCATAAAATATCATCCACAAATTCGTTTTGGTTCAAGTTTCCACTTTTGGTTTCCAAATTTTTGCAACACGTTCGCTTCGGTAGTCCAAAAATTTCTGTTACGTTGTCATATTGAATAGAAAAAGGAAATTATAGAAGCAGCAGTTGCTGCAGGACCTCCTCCGCCCTAGCTCCCTCCCTCCCATCCACATTTCAACCACATTTCAACATTTCCACAGCTACTTGGATAGTCTTACAAGTAGAATGTCTATGCAAGCCTTCCATCAGAGTCTGAAGGTGCCGCTGCGCCTGGTCAACTTCTGTCGACCTTTGCTGTGGCGCGGCAAGGCCGACTATGCCAAGACCATTGGGAATCTGAAAATTAAGAAGGAGACTAAGGTGCTGGTGCAGGGATTCACCGGCAAGCAGGCCACATTTCACTCGAAGGAGGCGATAGCGTACGGCACCAATATTGTGGGTGGTGTCTCGCCCAAGAAGGGCGGCGAGAAGCATCTGGATAAGCCGGTGTTCAAGAATGTCAAAGAGGCCACAAAGGAACTGAAACCGGACGCCACAGTCATCTTCATACCGGCGAGCAATGCGGGCCAAGGCATTTGTGCGGCCATTGAGAACGAGATCGGCCTGATTGTGGCCATCACGGAAGGTATTCCACAGCTGGACATGGTCCGCATATTGCAAATGCTGCACTGCCAGGAAAAGTCACGTCTCCTGGGTCCCAATTGTCCAGGCATCATTGCGCCGGAGCAGTGTAAGATTGGCATCATGCCGGGCAACATTCACAAAAAGGGCGTGGTGGGCATTGTCTCGCGCTCGGGCACCCTTACCTACGAGGCGGTGCAGCAGACCACAAAAGTGGGTCTCGGCCAGACCCTGTGCATCGGCTGTGGTGGCGACCCCTTCAACGGCACCAACTTCATTGACGGCCTCAGCATCTTTCTGAAGGACAACGACACCAAAGGCATCATTTTAATTGGAGAAATTGGCGGCACATCCGAGGAGGAGGCAGCCGACTATTTGATAGCCCACAACACCGGATGCAACGCCAAGCCGGTGGTGGCCTTCATTGCCGGCCAAACAGCCCCACCAGGACGTCGCATGGGACATGCTGGTGCCATTATAGCGTCCGGGAAGGGCAAGGCCAGCGACAAGGTGACGGCTCTGAAAAAGGCGGGCGCCCTCGTTGCCAAAAATCCCACCCAAATGGGCAAGATGCTGTACGACGAAATGCTGCGCCTCAAGCTCGTCCAGCCGGGCCAGTCGGAGCAGAAGAACAAGAAGTAGTGAGCATACAGAGCCAGATACGAATTGAGATTGACAAGCAGGAGAGACCAATTGATATTTGAGTGCCACACCCAGCCGTTCTTTACACGTGTTCTTTACAATCTTCTAGCTCTTCACATTTCTACCGTCCACCAGACAGTTAATAAATGCTAGAATTTACGTAAACTCCCTAGCATTCGCTTCATGGCATCAGACATGGACTCAGGGCTAGACTTTTCCAGCATATTATCAGCTATATGGCAGCTACTATTGCTTCACTGCGCCACTGCCATGGGATACCTATTGGGGTCGACTGTAGTTGTGCCATTTTCTACACTCGCAAAAAAAAACACACGTAGAATTCAATAATTTCAGCACCGATTTCGATATATATATAAACATTCGACTCTCTGCTATATAAGAAAACGACGCGTTATATCGAACTCATCGGCGTCCAACACTCGACAATTCAAAGTTGCATAAAGAGCCGGACATAGGCGTGGGTTTGATTATTTTATATAAGTATAAAATACTTTTCCTACTTTTTGTCTACTCTACTAACAAAATTAATTATTTTTTTTACATTTTTAACATGCATGTATTTTCGTAATGCATATTATTATTATTATTATATACTCGTATATGTATTTATTAATATGCAATACAACATTTTTATTTGAAGTTAATTTTCAAAACTGTTTTGCTATTTTTTATTTATAAGCTTAGATCTAAATTGATATTCTAAATGAGGAGTAGCTGATGGAATACACTTACTTGGCCCATACTTAACGACCATATACGAGTATGTTAAGGAGTGTATTTATAACCGCTCAAAACCGACTTGAGAATTGTAGCCAATGTGTGTCTCTATTTTACATTTGCAAATATTTAAATTAACTCTTAAAAATATTCAAATTACAAAAATCTTTAAATAAAAAAGTTCAGAAAATATTAAACTTTTCTATAGAATATATTAATAAATTAACTTAATTGTTATTTGAAGTAGATGATACATTTTAATATGGTTGAATAAAGATTTACACATTGCTTTGAATATTAGTTATAATAAAATCAGTAATTGAATATTATTTTAGTTAAACTTAAACTTTGTTTAAAATATGCCTTACAAATTGAAAATCAATGAATGATTTAAATCTGAAATGAAGCTTTTTGGGCTGACTTAGGAATATGTGCTCATTTTGAATTTAATGGCAGCTTTTTTTAAACATCCATTGATATTGGGAAAACAATCCAAGTGCAGATTGTGTTCAGGAATATTATTTGAATTACAATAAATTATTAGTTTAGGATCGATCTTGGTAGTTGACAAATATAGCTATTTATAGTTGGAACTATACTCTCTTATTAGAAGTGAAACAGTCGGTTTGCTGGTTTGAAGCATTATTTGAGCACAAACAAATATTTAACAAAACTGTTTTATTAAATGATTAATTACGTGTTTCATAAAGCATCGTTTTTAAAATAAATCCGTACTTGTGTATATTTGAGTTTATACTTATAACGATTGCCCTTTACTCTGTGGGTTAATTAATCTTAATGTTTCGCTTTCCCAAAAAGGGTTAAGACTTGATGGGCTTGCTGATTGGATAGCTCCCGGCCCTGGCCCTGGCCCTCGCCCTGGTGCTGGTCCTGGCCGAAAATTGTTGTGGTTACTGACTACCACAATGTACGTGTAAATGCCAATTATTCCGGGCGCTCTATCAAAAAAGTTCACTCAACTTTTGTGTGTTATTGCTGCTCTAAATAGCTAATTTTGTTACATGTGTTTGCTTGTCCGTCGCTGTTGTTGTTGTTATTGTTGTTGTTGTTTTTATTACCCAAACATTGTCTATTTGTGTTAGCCAAGCCATTGCCTTGCTCCTGTTTTTGTTGCGGTCGTTGTTGTTATTGCATTGCCTGCATGTCATGCAGCAATTTTTCCGTGTTTCCTTTAACTGCCGGCTATAAACTAATTACCTCGCATTTTTTCCTGCCACTGTTAATTTTGTTTTGTTGCTGCTCCTTGTTGCTATGCCTTTTTTGGAATGTGGACAGGAGGGGAGAGCGGATTCAGTGCATATGGCTTTTGTACTCCAGAGATGAGCCAAAATTTAAACTATTGTTGGGCGCTTTCATAAAATATTGAAGCCGCCTAAATGCTGGTTTATAAAGTTATCGGCCATCAAGTTTGGCTCCAGCCAGCTCGTATAACTCAGCAGCAAGCCACATTAAAGGCCAACAATTGCAAGCAAGCATTGCATTTAATTGAAAGGCAGGCCCTCAAGGCTAGGCCTGTTTAATATAAATAAAAATGAAAAATTCCACCCTTACACTTTCGCGGGTACAGGAAAAATCCAACAATTTGTTTTTATGCCGGCTTCTTTCACAATCGTTATATTTCTTTCTTGCTCGGCATATGATATCCTTGCGCTGAATTCTGTTAAGAAAATCCTTGTCGATGGATGTATCAAACATTTTCAAATTAATAACTTCATTTGGAAAAAATAACTTTGTTATCAACATTCTTTAGCTTCAACATTGGCTGCTGCAGCACATGGCGTATACGTAACGCGCCCAAGCGACACATTGACTGACTGACTGACTGACATTAAGGAGTATCCAGCCACAGCTGTTGCCGTTCATCTGGACGAGAGCCATGTTGACAAATATTTAAATCATTTGCTGTCAGCAAATGTATCGCTCTGCTCTTCTGCTGTTCTGCTGCTCTGTTCCCCAACCTCATGAATTCCTTCGTCAGCATTTGTAGCTGTATCTATTCCTACTTTTGTGTATGTGCTGGTGCGTGGGTGTGTGTGTGTGTGTGTGTGTGTGTGTGTGTGTGTGTGGAGTGTGTATGCGTGCTTCAAGCTGCGCATAATTTAACTAAAACCACTTGAACGCAACGGGCAGAGCCGGCAAAGCAAGTGAATCCAACTGCAGGAGCGCCAAGAAGTCCTGCTAAAAGCCAAAACGGCCACGCCCACCTGTATGCCATGCCAAAAAAGTAGGCGTTCGTATTCAAGTGGCAACCACACACACACACACACACACACACACATACACACTCACACACGTTCGCACGAACCACTTGAAAATTTACGGCAAAAAGTTTTTTGCCAACGAACTTGCTCGGGTCGGACTGTGTCTGTCTGCCCCCGTCCTGGCTGTCCGTCCTAAAATATCTGTAGATATATAGTATGTATGTACGCATCTGGTGGTATCTTTCAGCTGCTTAGGTGTCAACGTTGCACTTGAGTTACGTGTATTTTTGTGAGTTATTTCTATGCCAGCTATTTGGGAAATGCAAGCAAGTACAGTGCCAGGACCCTCTTCATCCCCAACCCCATCCCCGTTCCCGTTCCCGTCTCAGCCACAAACACAAGCAGAGACAACGACAGAGACGGAGACCGAGAGACAGGCCGAGAAACTCAGTCATCCAGACAACTGCAGCTCCATTTTGGCCAAGTGTGCAGCACTAATGCGTTTCCTTATTAAAAGCCAAAGTGTTAGCATATGAGCGCGCGTGTGTGTGTGTGTGTGTGTGTGTGTGTTTTTCTCTATCTAGGTGTGTGTGTGTGTCTTTGGCTTTCATTTAGATTGTATGGCAAGCGGCAAGAGCATTTTCATTTTTCACCTTCCCAAAGAAATGAATGCAAAGTTGAAATTGTTTGCACATCTTGAGCTAAGTTTGGAGTCCTTTAGCTCCAGCCCCGATAATGTCATTCACCAGGATGCAGAGTATAGGTGGGCTGCTCTGTGAAGGGTGGGCGTGGCATTTCGTGCACTTCGTGCATTCGACCGCAGAACAGTGAAAAGCAATTAAGGGCCGGGCTAAGAAACGAAATGGCACTTGGGTTGGGGGCGTCTTTTTGGACGGGTGCAACCATCTGGGGAATACTGTACCTACATACTTATAGCTTGGTTCCGATTGTCGTTCTATCGTGTTGCTATGGCACTCTTCAGAGCCCATAATTTAAAATGAAACAATCGGGAAGATCCATTGGGTTTTCTTTGCACAAAATAACTTATCAACTGTAACGGTTGGTTCGAGAATGCAGAGGATATCGGAGAGCACTGGACATAATCTTCTCCATCTCTTTAAAATGTATCGTGAGGCTTCTCTTACAATTGTGTAACAGAAATAATTTCATCCGCTTGATAATAAGTGTTGTCTTTATTGGCATAAAATAATAGTCTACTGGTGCGTATAATATAATTACATTTAAATCATCGTTTAACCCTAAAATTATACTACGACTATTAAATAATACTACAAGCCACATAAAAACAATCATTGGGTTATAAGCCTCATAGTTTTTCTCAACAATCTGCAAATGACATTTCTCCGAAATTCTTCAGCACCTGCCAGTTTTTCGAGCAATTTCAATAACAATTGAAGCGCAAATCTCTAAAGTTTTCTGTAATCTTAAAGCGAAGGGCGATTCACAAAAAGCCGAGCTACCCGGTAAATAGTTGTCATACAGTTTTTGCCAAATACACTTGGGATTTTGTCACACAACTCATTAGGCTTACAACTATACTTGTACATCGGAGGAGAAAAAAGGAAAACCCAAAAAAGAACTCAACAGAAAACACTTTGCAGCACAGACTACAGACTGCAGGCCGCAGACATTTGGTGGGCGGGTAAGTGTGGTGTGGATGGGAGGGGAGTGGAGGGGAGGGGAGGGTAGGGGAGGGAAAATCATTTTAATGTGTTCAATTGGCTTGGCTGTGCTATTCTGCCACAACTTGGGAATCTTATGCCGCATTTTATGAGCTGCATTGCCGCTCATCAGGCTAATTGAAAAACTAAGCCTTTAAGCCAAACTTTTTTAGTCAACACCTAAACCAAAAGCAAATGCAAACCCACACACATACCCGTGTGTGTATTGGTTGATACGTCCGCACCCTCCACCCCCCAGAAGTTTTGCAAAATGCAAACAAGAACCCCAAAATGTAGCACTTAATTGCAACTATTAGAAAACTTTGTACGCTCCTGCCACAACCACACCCAGAGTGTTGTTGTTGCTGTTGTTGGCATTGTGGCATTGTGGAAGCATGTGCGCCAAACCAAATAGCTTTATTTTCTTACTAAATTCTTATGACACGCCCTCACTTGGCCACCTTTGGGGCACGGGGTGGAGAGACAATCGGACGATGGCATCTAGTCCCTAATGCTGGGATACGGTCATCAATTGGGTGGCGCTGTCGCATTTAATGCAAGTTGAGAAGCAAAAGTGAATCCTGCAGCAAAATCATGTCAACTATCCAAACGATTTTGTCAATTTATGCCCCTCAGCGCCCCATCCACTCCAGCTCCATTCCTCCTCCAACACTCCTTCTGCAATCCCATTTGAATTCAAGCTTCGTTTCCTTGCATTTCCTTGCATTTCGTTTCGTTTCGTTTCGATTTGTTTGCTCCTTTTCAATTTGTTGCTGCAAAATGCAAACAAATGAAATTCTACACATTTCACTGTCACAGAGCAAGCAAAACGACAGCTTTTAGCCCATTTGTCCGTTTGTCTGTTTGTCCGTTTGTCCATTTGTCCATTTGACCGCCTCACCGCTCGTTCATTTGTTCAGATCTCGGAACGCTTGCGGATGTGCTGGGCAGTTGACAGTTGCTGTCATTAAATCAGCAATTATGACAATCAGCAATTTATCTATTAATAGAATGTATGCATGTATGCATGCATGTATAGTATGTATGTATGTATGTGTATGCTTGAATTATACTTTGAAGGCAAATGATGACACAGCAAAATGTTTGTTTGCACTGTTTGCTAATGCCGACCGATGCTTAATAAAGCGAATTTGCATGAATAAACCAGAGCACATAATTATTTATTAAAAGGATATCAGTTAAGTGAAGTAAAGCCTTTGTAATTCAATTATCTTCAATAATATCATTTCATCGCATTGCATGGTTCCACGTTAGCTTTCAGCTTCAGCTTGAGCTTGTCAGTTGCATCCAAACGGAAACTATATTTGAACCCATATTTGAACTCTACTTGAACAAAAGTGACATCGAGCCACAATGAAGGCAATTCGTAAATACTCTTAGAGCAAAGGAATTGATTGAGCATTGATTTATGCATCTGAAGGTTTCCCACATTGTCTCATTTGATTTGCAGTTCTATTTGAATTTGAGAATTCCCGAATTTTAGCATTCCTCGCATACTTTACTAAAGGCACTAAAGGCCCAGAAACGAGGTGAAGGCGGAAGATATTTGACCAGAACTTATGAAGACTTTACGAGTATGACTAACGAAATTAGATTTAGGACTGGACTACTACTTGTCGTACTTGGTCTTGCAGCGTCTAGCCTTTCTCTTCCCCAATTATTTACATAAAGGAACCGTTGCATTTCTGTAACGTAACATCATCGCCTGTTTCAAATGCAGTCTCCCCATTTCTAAAATCCTATATTTGAATGAAAATGCAGCTCGTATTAGAAACATTGCAAATTATTTATAAATTTAAAAAACAGAACTCATAGACTCTCTGGTAATAAATGCAATCATTCTATCTGAATAGCTGCTTTCTACTGCTATAATTTAAGTATTGCTTCAAATTGAAGGTATTTTGGCACTGATTGCATAATTTTCCTTTCAGATAGCACTTCTTATATCCGAAGAAAGAGTTGGGATATATATTTATATTCAAGGCGGCACTTCTAAATTGTTCTCATTAGCGTTCAGCAAGTAATACGTAATCGTCTCAAATAATGGTTGCTTGAAAAAAGTGAACAGTCGATCGTAGCTAATCACAAAGTAAGTCTTAATTGTAAAGCTATAGTCCGTATAATCCCAATGTAATCCTACATCCCATTTAGGATAGCCAACAAAGCCTCAGGCAGTAAGCAAAACAATAACACTTTTAAGCTGAAAAGAAAAGGCAACATGGCCGACTCCGAGTGCAGAAAGAGTGTTAAGGAGAGTCCTGCTGCTATGGTCGAATGGATCAACGCCAATCTTGGTAGTAACTTGAGGCATTGGCGGGAGCTGCGGAGCTGCGCTCATTGGTGCCAGATCATGCATATGATCGATCCAGCTGTCCTGGATTTGCGGGACGTGCGTTTTGCCGTGTCCGGCCGGAAAGATTGCATTCACAACTACGGGCAGTTGCGGCAGGCATTTGATGCTGCTGGCCAGATCCTTCAGTTCTCCGCGGCGCAACTGTTGCGGCCCGACGAGGAGAAGGTGCTGCAGCTGGGGAAATGGATGTACGCCTATTACCAGCTCAAGTATGATGGACACCCCTATGATGCGGTGATTGAACGCCAGGGTCAAGAGTTTCGCATGCTGTCAGAGCCTTCAACGTCCGGCAAGCGGATTGGCGCTGAGCCGATCCCCAATTCGACCACCAATTCCCAGAGAACGAGCTTCACAAGCCTCGTGAAGAGATATATGAGCTATGCGAAGCGGAAATCATCATCAGGAACGGCATCTAAGCAGGCCATATCGGCATCAGATGTGGACATAGTCAAGGGTAAATCGCTCGTGCAAGTCTATGGCAAGAGCGATGGGAGCTCCGCAGAAGCTAAAACAAGCACGCCGACCTCCAAGCAATCGCTCTTCACGCGCATCTTCCGCAAAGCAACGGACATCTCTGCGCAGAGAGACAGTAGCAGAAGCAACACAACAAGCAACCCCCCATCTCAGGAACCTTCAACGCTCGACCCCCAATCACACACCTCCAGCTCGGGCACGATCGAGCTCACGGCAGTATACAGCAGCGACAAACTGACTCGGCCCAGCAGTGCCACCCTAATGCCTTGTCCCAACAGCAGCCTAAACACTAGCCGGCCGGCACCAGCCGAGCTGGAGACGTGTCGGGGCGAAGATATCAACACTGAGAGCACCTCAGTCTTTCAGCATCTGACGTCCAAGTTGGAGGACAGTGCTGGGCCGCACCTCAGCAGCAGCTTAAGCAGCTTCACCAGCTGGAACAGCAAAAGCACGCCTGTCCATAAGAAAAGCGAAATGATGCCGCATTTGGCAAATAGTTGCTGCAGCAGGTGCTTTCCCAGAGACAGTTGCTCGGCAGCAAGCAGCAAGAGTTTCTCGAGCCCAGGCTGGGAGTATCGTGATCGGGTTCGTGAGCGTCTGCGGGTCAAGCAGAGTATCGAGCACGTCCAGAGCTGGCTGCAGGACATGAATCAGAATACGGCGTATGCTAAGGGCGACGACGACGACGAAGAGTCCTCTTCCAACGACGAGTCAGACCAATTCTTTAAGAATCTAATTCAACACTATGGCGAGGCACGTGCCCTCATGATCAACTACATTCGTCGCGAGAGAGACCGTCGATCAGAGGAGCGCAAACGCGAGCAGGAGGCCGAGTGCAGAGCACAGGCTCGCTGCCCCTATGACGAAATCGTTGGCTTAAGGATAGCTGGAAAAACTGCCACCAACACCAATCAGCAGCCGAAAATTGCTCCCCAAGCACCAGTTAAGCTCAAGAAAATTGAAACATTTCCACCAATAAACCACACCCAACGAGCAAACGAATACGTTCGGAAATAAACAAAGATACACTATAAACAAAAGCCCAATCAGTGTGTAAGGATTACATAAATGCAAAAAAAAAAATAAAATAAAATAAAAGCAATAAATAGCTGCCAAATAGGGAACCCATTTGTAGAATATAGATCACAAGGAATATAAATTCCGTCTGCTTAAAACAGATAGGTTTTCGCAACTTTTACGTTTCTATCTATAATTTAAGTTCCATGGAATCAACTGCAATAAAAGCAGAGTAAAGTAGTTAGATAGGACTTGACTGGACGCTTGAAAATTCAATTGCGTTGTCAAGAAAATTTCATGTTGGATGCAGAAATGCACATACTTATAGCTTTTAGACTCAATTTTTGTCAACTTTAGAAAGCAATTTCTTTATCCAAATGAGTATTCATATGGAAGGTAATGCAGTAACTCAAAGGAATTAAAGGAGCCTCTTTTTTTTAAAAACTAAATTTCTTAAAATTATTCGCACGCATGAATTTGAATTGTAAATTTCGTTGTGTTTAATTTTCGCCACTGCAGCGCTTCGCCTCGCTGTATGTTGTGGGATTGAACGATTGAACGATTGAAATGAAAACAATTATTTATTGCGTAGTCGCACGCACTTCCTGAATAGAGCGCTGATTCAGCATTGAAACATTTATTAACATTCTTGCTGCTCCGACACCACAACCAGGGACCAACAGCAACAACAACAGCAACAGCAACACCAACAGCAACATCGATACAAACACACACTCCATTAAGCTATGCAAATTTGCCAACACATGGTAAAGTGTCAACTTTGTGCTTGGCGCGCAAATAATTAGAAAAGTTCGTTGACTGCTGACAGGAGGAAAAAAAGTAAAAATAAAAAGAAGGAGAGGAATAACGGCAGCGTACTAATATGTATGAGAGCATATGTATGAGAAATTTATTTAAATATGCAAAAATAAATCTAATATTCTGTGGAAAACGAAAAGAACTCTCCGGCAACAAAAGGCAACGTGCATTTTAATACTATATAGTTGGCTGCATTGGCATCATCTACGCTCTGTTGGCCGGGTGGTGAAGGAGGAGGGGGTGGGGGAACTGAGGCTGGTTTTGTGGACTGCGGTTGCAAACTTTACTCTCGCAATTAATAAAGTTTGCGTCGAACAAAAAACCGCGAGTGAGCGAGCAGGAGTACACCATCAACAACAATAACGGCGCCAACATGAGCAGAAATAACGATGCGACAGTTAACAATTTTGCAATTTGGGCCCCTTACGAAAAATGGCTGACATTGCGTATACGCGGCGTGTAACGGGTGTGGGTGTTAACAGCCAACGTAAAGTGTCTGCATATTTTTAGACAACCATAAACCGGTGACTCGAATGTCACCAGCGGTCCGCTCACTCCTAGCTATCTATTTTATTTTATTTCATTTCTTTCTTGCTTTTAAATGTTACTGTCTGATTTGTTGGCTGACAGCGATGGCGGCTTTGCAGACAGAACTGACAGCTGTCAACGAATCATGAGCGCGGTTTTAATCAAGCCATATAAGTGTTTGCTTAAATTTGTATGAATCCACAAAATATCGTATACGCAACAATGGGACACAAAGTAGAGAGTAGAGAGGAACAAAAAGTTCGTATTAGACCACACACAGTGAAATATATACGTAAGTTGAAATACAAATCATATAAGTACTCATGTGAGAGCAATTAAATAAATTTGATTAAATGCAAAAATTATGTATTTTCTGTTGAAATATTAAACGCCTCTTATTTGTGAGCTCCTTGTTGGACATTTGAACACTGCCTGAGTATTGATTTGTGCTATGTTTCAAGGCTGATCCAATGAACATAAAGCAAAAGCAAAAGAAAATGCATTTATTGCACGTACGGCCCAAAAGTATGCAACAGTTTTTATACTCTCTACATGGAATGCACAAGAGAATCTTATTTTGGGAAAATGTAACAGCCAGAAGGAGGCGTGGCAGATCCCACCCATATATTCTTGAACAGCATGACAAGCCGATCTATGTCTGTCTGTCCGTCCGTATGAACACCTGGATCTCAGAGACTATAAGAGCTAGAAACACCAAATTTTAATCCCAGCTGCCTTATGTGATTACTACCATTCCTCCCGCAATTCTTAATACTTCAGACCCAAATGTGGCAACTAACTCAAGTTAGTGATTATGACAGACTCATAATACCAAAGGCGGTAAGGTTTATCACATTTTTTTTTTAATTTCCTAATTTTTTTAATTGTTAATTTCTGTAATTATTCCACACATATGTACAGAGTATTTCACAGTCGACCTTAGTTTCTCCACTTGTTTCCTATCCATTTACGCTTTGCTCGTGGAGCCCGCGATTGTGGAGACCATTGGAGAAGGGGGCTGCCAACTTTGCGCAATTAAAAGCATATCAGTAGCAACAACAAGAAGCATGCAACTATCCCACATACTGTGCCTCTGACACTGCCTCGGACCTGGATTTTTTCCTTCGGTTTCTCGCCAGCTCCAGCAACAGTTGCAACAAAAAGAGCTACAAAGTGCATTGGTAACGATGGCAGTAATACTCAGACTTTGTGGCGCGCTGAGACTTTTGCGGTTTATTGCCCCGACAGTAAAACACCAAGCCGGCTATATACATACATATGTATGTATGTATGCATACTCGTATGAGCGTGTGCGTGTTTGTGTGTTTCACGCTCCTTAGGTGTTTGGCAAAAGTTTTGTCGACATCTTAATTTCTCACTTGTAAATTGAGCTGCGCCAGCAACCGCAAATTAGACCCCAAAGTATACGTACTTTGTGGATGCGAAATATACGCACACTCACAAGCACATTCATGCGTAAAACCAACATCCACGCACGCACCAGCACAGACATCGACACACACTCACCCACACACAAACACACACACGTAATAGAAGCGAGTGTTACAAAGTTGAAGTGTGCGACGTGTGGCGCCAATCGCAGCAGCAGCAGCAGCAGCAGCAGCAGCAGCAGCAGCAGCAACAACAATAACGGGCAAAAAGAACAGCAGCACCTGATGGAAAATTTGGCACATGCTTGAGGCAGCCTCATTTCGTATTCCTCCTTTATAGTATATAGTATATGGCATATGTATAGCAGCTCTCTTATATGAATAAATGCCTGATTATCAAAACTTTGCTTATGCTACTTGCCATACATAGTAGTTGGATAAAAGCAACAATAGAAATAAATTTCGATAAACGAAAAGTTATCTCAACATGAGTCCAGATTAAAAACTTATAACTGAGACGTCTAATATATAAATTTGTTATATTAATTAGAGTGTGAATGGGATCGATTGAGCTTTAATTTTCATTCATTAAATAATAACACATAAAGAACCAATTTATTTGTACGAAAGAATCACTTTCTCCACATCAAGATGAACAAATAATTTAGTCTGCCTAAGATATAAATTAGAAAGCTCGGAAAGGCTTTGCTACCTAAAGACGCTCCCCAGCAAAACCCACTTTAGATTTAAAACTCAAGCAGACATGCAATAAATAACATAAATAATAATACCTATACACTTATAAGTATTAGTGGGACACATACATGCAATGTTATAGTAATAGTAATTAAAACTAAGGGAAATATTAAAGAATAAAAATAAACAAACAGAAATTATTAATAGCAATGTTCAACGTCAAATAAAACTGAATTAAATTTGTAATCAAGTTAAATTAAATTTGAAATACATATGTAATGACTAGCGTAACAACTTAAATGTTATCTGGTACTTGTTTATAAATAAATAAAAAAAATAATATTGCAGTAAGTTCGCAGCCAGTCCGTTTATTTGATTTAGGTCATGGTGCTTCGTGAAACCGCGGACGTACCAATGGCACCTAGTGGTAAGCCGCAGTGCTATATTCTGAAGTAACTGGACCCGTCTTTAGTTGAACGATGCATGCAGTCCCAAAATCTGAATTTCGTAGGAGCTGCCTTCAACAAGTAAGTTTTTTTACCTCGTCGGAATTAAACTAATCCTCCATAAAACGATTGGTCTTTCGTTCGAAAAGTGGAATATCAAATAATACCATCACCTCTTAAATGAATAGCAAATGGAAACAGATCTGTTTAAATGTAATCTGGTACTTGTTTATAAATAATTAAATAAATAAAAATAGAATAGAGTGCTTCTGTTCTGAAGAAGGATATATTTAATATCAGTGGGGCGGCTTCCACCTTTAAATGTGGAGCAGTTTTCCAATACCCATGCTGGTTTATTCGATCCAAAGGAGCTCGCAGCTGCAAGCTCAGCCAGTGAGTTCGTAGTTGAACCTGCTGCCAAATTTCTCACTGGGCACGCAGTCAACTCCTCGCTTCATGCCCTGCACGCTCCGCACACGTAGACAAACATTTGCAAATGAGCGCTGAAGCGTGGGACTCCTATGCCGCACCTGCCGCACTTGCCACAGTTACCTGCGTTACCAGTTGGAATAGTCGTTGCCGTTGTCGTTGTCGTCCTCGTCCTCCTCCTCCTCGTCGCTGCCACTTGCCCCCACCATTGTCGCCGTTTGGTGACAGCAGCGCAATGCGTGCGCAATTAGAGATAGTTGCAAGCTTTCGGTGAAATTGAAATATTTAATTTAATTTTGCAAGCAAGTATGTGTGAACCAACACACCATACCCCTCACCCCACACCCAATGCCATTCGCATCTTTAACTGCTTTGTTAAAGTCCTTGGCAGTAGTTTGTTGTCCTGCTGCTGCGCACCTTTAACTTGAGTTTTCAGCTTTGCGCTTGTCCTGCATTGTAGTACGAGCGCCCCATAGGTGCGCCTTTATCGAGGACCAATAATTTGGCGAATGACTTGCAATTATTTGCCAGAGAAGTTTTGCCCATACCCAAGACGCCACATCCGCTGCCATTCCCACTCCCATTCCCACTCCCATTCCCATCTCCAACGCCGCTGCTCGTCCCAACACTTTGCCAATTTCTCGCGTGGCACGTAGAAAGTTTGTCTACTCCGCGAATGCGAATGCGAATGAGAATGATTCATGGTCGTTGCAATTTAGCTGCCAACTCGCGAAAAGTACCGGAAACGCATTCATTTTCCGCATTTTTCACATCAATAATAAAGTGCCCGG